CCAAATAACTGCTGCAGCATATGGGCGCCTAGCAAACCTCAGAACAGCATTCCGACATCTTAATAAGGAATCATTCAGGACCCTGTACACCGTGTACGTTAGGCCCATATTGGAGTATGCGGCACCAGTTTGGAACCCATACCTAGCCAAGCACGTAAAGAAACTAGAGAAAGTGCAAAGGTTTGCAACAAGACTAGTCCCAGAGCTAAGAGGTATGTCCTACGAGGAGAGGTTAACCCTTAGAGGGTCGACAGGCCCTCTCCGAAACTCGTTCTCAGGGTCGGCCAAATTTAAAAAAAAAATTATTTTTTCTTATGAAAAGATAGAGAATCTTTTCTCGATCATAAAGACACCAAAAGTTTGAAATTTGATAGAAAACTTACGGAATTATGCTCTCGCAAAGTTAGCGGTCTCGGCGATGTTTACGCATCGGCGATTTTGCCCACTTTGAGCCCCATTTTCGGCCAATTTCACTGTGCTAGTCGACAAAAAACATGAATATTTCGCTAGAACTCCATTTTTTCTATCGAATGGGTGCAAGAAACCACCCATTTATGAAATTCAACTATCCAGTACAGTGGTCAGAATTTAGCAATTTTGCCAATTTCACACAAATTTCAAAAGATGCCAATTTCCGAATAATGTCCAGAATAAACAAGAAATACATTCCTGGCACTAAAATGACATTTCCTCTAGTCATTAGTCACGTCTCAAGGCCCCTCTTATATTCTTTTGCTTTCCACTTTGAAATTTTATTCTCACAAAAAATATAAGATTTACTGTTATGCAGACTACTGCATTAGTGTAAAAAATGGTATAAATATTATTGGTGCACTTGTGAAAGAATATCAGACTCACCAGTTGACGTGTATTGCACGCTTGGCACGATTTGTTTACTTTTGAAGTTTGGTAAAAATCGAACATTTCTGCTACTTTGAGCTCAATTTCAAGGCACCTTTCATTGTAAAACCAGTCAAAATCATCTCAATTTCTGTAAAATGTCTTCCATTCTATAAAATGAGACCAAGAAAACTAGAATACAACAATAAATACCATACGAAAATACACTGCAAAGTCGCTGATTTATTCCAAAAAAATGGTCAAAGTTTTTTTTTTCTCATTATGCACTGTGTGCTGCAGGATTTTTTTTAGACTGTGCACATTGACCACATAGACCCATTCTTTCATATGAAGGCCTACCAGCTTTCTCCCACTAGATTTGAGGCCGCTAGAATTTATGCGTACTAGTACGTCAAAAACCCCTACGCGTAAGACGTACTAGTACGACCAAAACCCTTAAAGGGTTAAGGGAAATCAACCTGACGACACTGGAGGACAGGAGAGATAGGGGGGACATGATAACGACATACAAAATACTGAGAGGAATTGACAAGGTGGACAAAGACAGGATGTTCCAGAGATTGGACACATTAACAAGGGGACACAGTTGGAAGCTGAAGACACAGATGAATCACAGGGATGTTAGGAAGTATTTCTTCAGCCACAGAGTAGTCAGTAAGTGGAATAGTTTGGGAAGCGATGTAGTGGAGGCAGGATCCATACATAGCTTTAAGCAGAGGTATGATAAAGCTCACGGCTCAGGGAGAGTGACCTAGTAGCGATCAGTGAAGAGGCGGGGCCAGGAGCTCGGACTCGACCCCCGCAACCTCAACTAGGTGAGTACAACTAGGTGAGTACACACACACAAATACACACACACACTTATTTTTTTTTTTTACACAGGGTTTGACAAGGTTAGGTTAAGGATCCCTAGCTTTATTGACAAGCTATTTACAGGTTAAGGATTCCTAACTTTATTGACAAGCTAAGAGCTGTTACATACATCAGCTCATTTGAAAGCATTTTTATTGTTATCAAACATACAAGTATTTTTATTATGAAACATACAAGTAGGGAACAGGATGAAGTTGGAGCCATCTGTGGGCCAGCATTTTCATTTGATCAACTGACTTTATCTCGTTGACATCATAATGCTGTACGAATGTGTTCCAGACTCGAGTCATCCTGGGGATAAATAATCTCAGATGAAGTGATGTTCTGGAGAAGGGTACAGCCAGAGTGAAGTTGCTGCTTTCTGCCCATCTTGTGGTATAGAAGCTTGCTTCTCGCTGTCCTCGAAGCGGATCCAATTGTGGTACTTTGACAATATTGGCCTTGTACATAACAGTAAGGCCATCCACATTCCCCCTGTGTTGAGGCTCTGCTGAAATAACAGATCTATCCAGGATGGGTCAAGGCGAGAGATGAGACGTCTTGCTCTGTTCTCTACTCTGTCAAGCAGTCGCAGAGGGCAGGCAAACCAAGAAAGTGGAGCATACTTAAGGTGTGAGTGTACTTGTGCCTCGTACAGAATCTTGCAACCCCTACTGTCAAGCAGATGCGAGATACGGTGAAGTGCTGTAAGCTTCCTGGCTGCCTTGTTTGCAAGAGTTACAACGTGGTTCTTCGTGGTCAGTTTGGAGTCAAATTTATCAATTTCTTCACACACACACACACACACACACACACACACACACACACACACACACACACACACACCACACACTCACACACTCACACACACACACACCACACAACACACACACACACAACTTCACACACTCACAGCACACACTCTCACGCTCTCACACACACACACTCACACTCTCTTTCACACACCTCTCTCACTCTCTCTCTCTCTCACTCTCTCTCACACTCTCACACACACTCTCACACTCTCTCACACTCTCTCACACTCTCTCACACTCTCCCCACACTCTCTCACACTCTCTCACACTCTCTCACACTCTCTCACACTCTCTCACACTCTCTCACACTCTCTCTCACACTCTCTCTCACACTCTCTCTCACACTCTCTCTCCCACTCTCTCTCTCACTCTCTCACACACACTCACACTCACACACTCACACTCACACACTCACACTCACACACTCACACACACACACACACACACACACACACACACACACACACACACACACACACACACACTCACACTCTTACTCTCTCTCACTCTCACTCTCTCACACTCACTCTCTCACTCACTCTCTCTCACTCACTCTCTCTCACTCACTCACTCTCACTCTCACATTCTCACACTCTCACTCTCATGGTGCAAGGAGAATGACCCAGTAGCAGCCAGTGAAGAGGCAGGACCAGGAGCTATGACTTGACCCCTGCAACCACAACTAGGCGAGTACTCTGTCTCTCACACTCTCTCTCTCAACACACACACTCGTTCTCACTCTCGCTTGCTCTCATTCTCACTCTCTCACACTCTCTCTCACTGTCTCTCTCAAAGAGAGAGCTACTCATGAACCTGATTGTCACCTAGACAAACAGCTATTACACATGCATCAGAATCATCAGGGCTGCACAAGTGGAAAGATACAACTGTGGCTGAAATGTGTATATTCCTTGCCACAGTCACGCTTCTGCCTTATATCTACATGCACAATACAGTACTTTGACTTTTTTGGGGGTTATCCTAGGTAATTTACACTATGTATGATAACTGCACTTTTGTGTACCTGCACCTAAGTAAACTTACTTGCTTACTTAATCCTTGATTCTGTTCAAGGGATGCCTGTTGTTCCAGTGATATATACCAAACAAACAAAATTACTCTGGTATAAAGCTGTGTGTGGCTGAAATGCATCTATTTCTTGCCACAGTCGTGCTTGTGTGTGTCGAACAGTGAGAACAAATAGAAAACATATACCAGGATTCACTGGGAAAAGTGCTGATGATGCACTGCACTATCAAAAATGTAGTGCCACTCTGACACCATGCTTCAAGTAGTTCCATATACTCCAGCACTTTTAAAAACATTGCTGGGACTAATATATAATTTGTATATATTCCTAGAAAATAATATGTGACTGTGATAAGTGGATATGTTCATGTGTCAGTGTGGTTGTGACTGTTTGATTACTATTTCTGTACCTAATATTTTTATCAGAACAAAGACTGTCTATAAATCACAAGATTTACCACAATTTGTAACTGTCAGAACAAAAATTACATAAATTAAAAAAAATTAAAAATATTATATTGGCAATATTTCAGCAAGTAACAGGACTCCATGCTGCCATCACATGAGCACCCAGTGCCAACCTCATGGAATTAAAAAAAAAAAAAAATTGCAACGATACTGGAGATGCATAGTTCAGCACCACAACAATTAAAGGATTAATACAACCTAATTTTAAACAAGTGATTCTGTATTTACCTTTATTCATGGAAACTGTTCTATGGTACTGGAATCTTGGGTGGGTGAGTACATGCATGGGTGGGTTTCAGGGGCCTGCCAGTCACCAAAGTTGACTACAGTAATTGTAAATGACAAGGAATGGTTTTGAAAGCATCCATTACATGAAGCAACAGCCTAGCTGATCAAGCAATCAACATCTATCTAGCCTCAGGCTGGGCTGTGAAGGTAGAAAAACCCTGAAAACCAAAGATAGGTATGTGCATAATGTAGAGGTTGCACTGCACAATGCAGTATCCTTCTAGACCAACAGTGAATATATCTGCTACAGCAGGTCTTTGATTGAAACCATAATACATTATACTAATCTCCACTACCTGTTGCTTCATGCTCAATAATATACTACATGGAAACAGAAACTCAAAAGATTAATTGATCTGTATATTTCAATCCCCTTCTGGGATCCTCTTCAGCAGATGTTACTTCATCTTTCAGTTCAAGTGGTTTTTTTCACCTTTCAACAGTATTCACAAATCTTTGAACCAAGCACATCTAACATTTCCAAAACCATAAGAAAGTGCATTTTACTTATACATATCAACATCATTGGGGCCTCTGTTAAAAAAATGTAAGTCATTGGGTCCTCTATTCCATCCTGCTGCATAAGGTCTTGTAGCCATTATTCCTTTTCTGTTCAAAACACTTGCAAAAAATTCATAATAAAAAGTATCTGCTGTAAGTAAATCACAGGCAAGAAATTCTATTTACCTCTGTTTTATCTTAGCCAAAGTTTCAATCGCAATGCATCCACTCCATTGAGATAGTACCTGGAAAAATGAAAGGAATGTAAGATTCAAAATTACTGGTAACAATTATTGTACTTCTCTCATGCACTCAGAATCACAAGAGCATTTTAAAAAGCTCAACTGCATATCATGTTAGAAAAATAAATCTCAACCCCTAGCTCACAGGTATAGGAGTCTGTTACAACATTTCCAGTGGAGGGCAAGAGGATGGGCAAGACATCAACATGGCTGTTTACCTTGACATAACCTGATCAAGGAAAGAGAACTGCATATCCCCCCCCCTTCCCCCCTTGCTTGCCTCCCCAGTGGACAACCAAACTCACATACCCTTCAGTGAGAATCCAATTTGAATATGACTAAGGAAATTAATGACCCAAGAAGTAGAAAAACAAATACCATGAATATTCCATATCAGTTTCTTCATATAGGACTGTTTTCTGTAAATGAAAACCATGGATTTGGGTTTATCATACACAATTATTGATGCAACATCAAAAGTTTTAGTCAAAATGAAAACCTTATTTAACAAACTTTTTAAATATTTTATGGCAAAATTAAAGTCCTGATCTGGCCCATTTACTTTATATTATCAGCCATATAGTGAGATTTTTACTAAATAAATATGACCAGATCAGCTCCAAGCAGATCCAAGACAATTCTTTGACTGGTCTCAAGAAAACCTGCCAAATGTCTGGTCTACTACATACACTACCTAACTGCTGTGACATAGACTATCAGTAAACCTTTGTCGATGTATTTTATTTAATTCTTGTTAAAACTTTTACACAAATAAAAAATCTGCAATATATCGCTTACACAGGGTACCATACAACAGAAGACTCTGTAACAGATTTCACTACAATCCCTCACTGTACAGCAAGTAATAAAACAGATATTTCTCAATTTATATTCACCACAATCATTATTATATTTATAAAAATGATGGGTATTATTCAGTGATGACAAATTCTGGTATATTAGAGAACAGCTACACATACACAGGTTACACACACATACAGGGAGGGAGGAACACAAATGTGTAAACATTGCCAGGTCACAAACCTCATGCCACCAAGTGACCATAAACAAACTGGGTGCCAATGTACAAACTGTTTATTCAGTCAAGCAAGATTCTGTGAATATTTTCATACCATACTTCAGTATATTTTATCCAAAAAAAAGATGATAAAATAAAGAATAATTGTGAACCCACCAACCTATGCCAAACAAGCTATACCATGAAAAATAAGAAAAAGCAAATGGATGTGTGGGAATAGCAACAGTAGTAGTATTGAGGGTGGGGTGGGTGGGTTGGTGGGTTGGTTAGGTGGTAGTGGGTATGAGTGTACGTGTGTGGGTGTGTGCATGTGTGCCACTCACTCACCTACACTAAATTACTTGACTGATCATCAGAGATACTGTACAGAATGGAAAGAACCATTGTATGTGGTAAAACATGTCATTTCTTTTAACATACTGGCTATCACCCACAACACAGTAAGTGTCCGGGGCCCAAGACTGTTCAATTGCCTCCCAGCACACATAAGGGGGATTACCAATAGACCCCTTGTTGTCTTCAAGAAGGCACTGGACAGGCACCTAAAGTCAGTACCTGACCAACCGAGCTGTGGTTCGTACATTAGCTTGCGTGTGGCCAGCAGTAACAGCCTGGTTGATCAGACCCTGATCCACCATGAGGCCTGGTCTCAGACCGGGCTGTGGGGGCACTGACCCCCAAAACCCTCTCCAGGTAAAGTAAGGTGGCCAGAAAAAAAAAGAAACACTTTCACTAGTGATCCGAAAAAAGAAACGCTTTCACCAAGACCGTGAGCATACTATCAAAGATACGGTACTATGTTCCACAGTCAGCCCTCCTGGCCCTATATCACTCACTTATTTACCCCTATCTCACCTATGGAATTTGTGCATGGGGCTCAACAACAATAAACCATCTCAAACCATTAATTACCCAACAAAAGGCTGCAGTCAGAATGATGATAAATTCCCACTACAGGCAGCATACTCTACCAATATTCAAAACTCTAAACTTACTCACCGTACAAAACATCCATACTTATTACTGTACCTATTACATACATAGAACACTTAACTCGAATATAAACCCTCCCCCCAAATTTCTCCTTACCAACCTCAACAGAACACATGACCATAACACAAGGCACAGATCACTCTCTGATGTTCCTTGTGTCAATCTCACACTATGTAAAAACTCAATGCACATAAAAGGCCCAAAAATCTGGAATTCATTACCTGTGAATATAAAAGAAATACTGTCTGTTTATCAACTGAAGACTTCTTCTTAAAAGCCACTTATTCACCCACAACTAAATAAATACTGAATAACTGTCTCATAAATGTATAACCTGTGACACTATCAAACTATGTTTTTTGTAATTACATTACCTAATAGAATACTCCATTCTCTACAACGCTCAGTAACTCATCAAATGACCATATGACCTGTTTCTGCATTGCAAATCATTGATTTTATTCAATCTGACCGGATTATATAATAAACTGTGCTACGAATTTGTACAGCTATAAAGTTTCTTATTTGAAATACTCGTTTGTAATTCATGTTGTAATTCCCAAACCCCTCCTTTCAAGTGCAGGCATTGTACTTCTTATTTTCAGGACTCAAATCCGGCTAACCAGTGTCCCTCAATCCCTTCACGAAATATTACCCTGCTCACACTCCAACAGCTCATCAGGTTCCAAAAACCATTTGTCTCCATTTGCTCCTATCTAACACGCTCACACATGCTTGCTGGAAGTCCAAGCCCCTCACCCACAAAACCTCCTTTACCCCCTCCCTCCAACCTTCTCAGAGACAACCCCTACCCCGCCTTCCTTCCCCTACAGATTTATACGCTCTCCAAGACATTCTTTGTTCCATTCTCTCTTAAATAACCAAACCACCTCAGCAGCCCCTCTTCAGTCACATCATAAGGGAGGGCAGGGGGGAGGCCACCCCAGGTACCACCACAGAGCCTCTAAAGGTTACACTAACATAAAAACATAAGAAAGGAGGAACACTGCAGAAGGTCTATTGGTAGCACTGCAGCAACATAAGAGAAAAATCCTTTGTTTTTATATAGCCTATTATATGATTACTGAGTACAAATAGGCCTATATAGGGAAAATCAATGATGCTATATGATAAACTACAATAAATCAATAATTTTTTTTATGTTGTTTTGGAAAAACCCTAAATCGCCCTGGCATCACTATGATCAGTCATCAGTGACGTAACATACTGTGTCTGCTGCACCACCCATGAGTGAGTTTGGTCCAGGTGGTGTATATGTGGCTGAGTTAAACAGACAAAGGGTCAGGTAATTATCATATTCTGAACTTTACTTCTGCTTATTGGTGTTATCAGTCATGTTCATGAATCAAGATATATGAATGGGTGAGAACTGACATTCATGAAATGTTGAAATAACCGTGGTACGTAAGAACATAAGAATTAAGGAACATTGCAGAAGATCTACTGGCCAAACCATACCACGGGCGGGGATAGAACCCGCGATCAGATAGTCTCAAAACTCCAGACTGTCGTGACAGTCTGGAGTTTTGAGACTCTCTGATCGCGGGTTCTATCCCAGTCCGTGGTATGGTTTGTTTGTAATCGTGTCATTACGATTTTGTGAGTCAGGTGTACTGGCCCATATGCAAGAATGAGCTTATGCTTGAAATACCAAGACCAAGGAGGCACCTGCAAGCTGCTGATGTTGATCTTGAAAAAGTTAAGCAGTGGACTGCATTGAATGCACTAACATTCATAGCTGAATGGAATTGCATTGAATCTCTTCCAACTCTCTCACACTGCCTGAGGTTGTTCCTTACTGTGTGTGTTTCTGTGGTTTCTTGTGAAAGGAGTTTCTCAAAGTTGAAGCTGATTAAAAACTATTTACAGTCCACAATGAGTCAATCCAGAATCTCTGACTTAGCAACATTATCCATAGAAAAGGGGTCAGTTGACAGCACTGATTTTGATATCATAAATGATTTTGCAGGATTGAAGGCAAGGAAATGCAAGATCTAATTCACTGAGATGTTACCTGTACTCAAGGTCAAATCAGAACTTGTATTTCTATGATATTGCAATGTTTTTTTTTTTATTTTTTCATTTTTTTTTTCACTGTTGAAGATGAATAAATGTAGGATCTGTTGCCTGTACTCAAAGTGGTATTTGAGTTTGTGTTTCCTCAATATTACTACGATTATTTATTTTATCATTAATAAAGTTGAGAAGTATTCTCCAGTTCAGTTAATGGCCCTTAACCCCTTGACTGTCGCAAATCCCAATCCTGAGGTGTCTCCTGGTGTCGCAAAATTTAAAAAAAAAAAAAAATTCTTATGAAATGATAGAGAATCTTTTTCCGATTGTAACGACACCAAAAGAACGAAATTTGATGGAAAACTAACAGAATTACGCTCTCGCGAAGTTAGCGACCTCTGCGATATTTACGAAAGGGCGCTTTCGCCAACTTTGAGCCCTGTTTTCGGCTAATTCCATTGTTCCAGTCAACCAAACTCATAGCTATTTCTTTAGAACTCCAGTTTTGCTATCGACTGAGTACAAGAAACTGCCCATTTACTGATTTCAACTACCCAATAACATGGTCATAAATTTGCAATTTAGCCAATTTCATGAAAATTAACCCGTAAATGGTCCAAACATATATATACGTTCTCTACCGTAGTGCCCCAAATTTTTTGAGAAAAAAAAATTGTTTTTTTAATAGGAAAAGAGAGCATATGGTAACCAGGCATCCCCAATTATTTTAACATGGCGCACAGTGAGTGCGCACACCCATTCTCTCATGTCTAGGTGACTCAGGCTTATCATGGCAATGTTGAATATATGACAAATAAAACGTATATATACGTTTGGGGCACTAGCGGTAAAAACGTATATATATGTTTGGACCGTTTATGGGTTAAAAAATATGACACTTTCAAAATAGGGTCCAGAATAAACACTGCAGACATTCCTGGTTCTAAAATCAGTCATCAGTCACTTCTCCAGGCCCCTCTGATATTACTCTTACTTTCTGTTTTGAATTTTTATTCAAACAAAAAATAGAAGATTTACTGTTATGCAGACTACTGCAATATTGTAATAATTGTATAAATAATGTCAACCCATTCATGACTGCATATCAGAATAGCTAGTTGGACATTTATTGGACAATGACATCATTTGTTTACTTTTGAACATCGGCAAAAATCAAGCATTTCCCCTACTTTGAGCTCCATTTCCAGGTTCTTTTTAATAGTAAAACCAATCAAAATCACCTCTATTTCTATAATATGTTATCCATTCTATCAAATGAGACCACGAAAACAAAAATACAACCATAAATACTATACGAAAATAGACCACGAAATCAGCATTTTAATTAAAAACAAACGGTCATTTTTTTTCTCATTATGCACTGTGTGCTGCAGGATTTTTTTTATATGGTGCATAGTGACCACACAGACCCATTCTCTCACATGTGGGCCTACCAGCTTTCTTCTGCTTGATTTGAAGCTGCTAGAATTTATGAGTATAGAAACGTCAAACATGGTGGCTCGTAAGACTTGTATATACGACCAAAACAGTGAAAGGGTTAAATGTTGTCATTGCTAAACATTAGTCATTGGTCATGCAGTAGTGACACAATTGGAGTTTACTACCCCCCATCCTCCCACTTTTGGATTTCATGGGGGTGACACCAACCCTAACAATGCCACTGCCCCTCTTCAGCCCTCTGACTAATACTTATAGGAACTCCACACCACCACCTCCTAATTTCCACACTACAAATTCTCTGCATATTTACACCACACACTGCCCTTAGACAGGACATCTCCACTGCCTCCAGCCTCCTCCTCCTCACTGCAGCATTTACAATCCATACATCACACCCATATTAGAATGACTGTACCACTACATTCTTGTACATTCCTTTCTTTGCCACCATGGATAACTTGTTTTTGTCTCCACAGATACCTCAATGCACCAATAACCTTTTTTCCTTCATCAATTCTATGGTTAACCTCATCCTTCATAAACCCATCTGCTGACAAGTCAACTCCCAAAAATCTGGAAACATTCACTTCTTCTATACTCCCTCCCTCCAATGTGATATCCAAATTTTCTTTATCTAAATCGTTTGATACCCTTATCACCTTACTCTTATCTATGTTCACTTTCAACTCTCTACCTTTACACACCCTCATATCAGAAGTAAAAACTGGATGATGTTATCCTGTCTCAAGGCATAATCAAGTTGTGAGGTGGTGAATGACAGGTCAATGCAACAAATGGTAAGGAAACTGCAAGTCACATCATATTATTATAGTTCTGATGATTACAGCCTTTGACAATTAACTAGGCAAGACAAATGAAGCCAGGGCTACGATTCCTGTTAGAGATATCGCACATAAAAGCCAATTAAACAAGATTCAGTATCAGTGAAGGCTTGAAAAGGAAAGTTAATTTTGGAAGAGAATCAGCTTACAGGATGGCTATAATCTTGAATGTGATGAAACAAGAACCAGTAAGAGCATACTTTTTTCTCCTTTTTTTTTTTTTTTTGAGTTCATTAAATCTGTCAGTAACAAAGCAGCCAGTATTAGTAGTAAATTGGATAGAGCAAGAGAAGAGAGGTATATAACTAACACCTCAAGTGTCAGTGACAGGAAAAGTACTAACTAGGAGCACGTAAAGCCATGACAGGGTCAAATTCTAATGACCTCTCAAACTCCATTATTATTATTTCCATTATTTTTTTTTTTTCCAACAAGTCGGTCGTCTCCCACCGAGGCAGGGTGACCCAAAAAATAAAGAAAATCCCCAAAAGAAAATACTTTCATCATCATTCAACACTTTCACCACACTCACACATTATCACTGCTTTTGCAGAGGTGCTCAGAATACAACAGTTTAGAAGCATATACGTATAAAGATACACAACATATCCCTCCAAACTGCCAATATCCCAAACCCCTCCTATAAAGTGCAGGCATTGTACTTCCCATTTCCAGGACTCAAGTCTGACTATATGAAAATAACCGGTTTCCCTGAATCCCTTCACTAAATATTACCCTGCTCACACTCCAAGAGATCGTCAGGTCCCAAGTATCATTCGTCTCCATTCACTCCTATCTAACACGCTCATGCACGCTTGCTGGAAGTCCAAGCCCCTCGCCCACAAAACCTCCTTTACCCCCTCTTTCCAACCCTTTCGAGGTTGACCCCTGCCCCTCCTTCCTTCCCCTATAGATTTATATGCTTTCCATGTCATTCTACTTTGATCCATTCTCTCTAAATGACCAAACCACCTCAACAACCCCTCTTCTGCCCTCTGACTACTGCTTTTATTAACTACACACCTTCTCCTAATTTCCACACTCCGAATTTTCTGCATAATATTTACACCACACATTGCCCTTAGACAGGACATCTCCACTGCCTCCAACCGTCTCCTCGCTGCTGCATTTACCACCCAAGCTTCACATCCATATAAGAGTGTTGGTACTACTATACTTTCATACATTCCCTTCTTTGCCTCCATAGATAAAGTTTTTTGACTCCACATATACCTCAACGCACCACTCACCTTTTTTCCCTCATCAATTCTATGATTAACCTCATCCTTCATAAATCTATCCGCCGACACGTCAACTCCCAAGTATCTGAAAACATTCACTTCTTCCATACTCCTCCTCCCCAATTTGATATTCAATTTTTCTTTATCTAAATCATTTGATACTCTCATCACCTTACTCTTTTCTATGTTCACTTTCAACTTTCTACCTTTACACACATTCTCAAACTCATCCACTAACCTTTGCAATTTTTCTTTAGAATCTCCCATAAGCACAGTATCATCAGCAAAAAGTAACTGTGTCAATTCCCATTTTGAATTTGATTCCCCATAATTTAATCCCACCCCTCTCCCGAACACCCTAGCATTTACTTCTTTTACAACCCCATCTATAAATATATTAAACAACCATGGTGACATTACACATCCCTGTCTAAGACCTACTTTTACTGGGTAGTAGTTTCCCTCTCTTCTACACACCCTAACCTGAGCCTCACTATCCTCATAAAAGCTCTTTACAGCATTTAGTAACTTACCACCTATTACATATAATTGCAACATCTGCCACATTGCTCCTCTATCCACTCTATCATATGCCTTTTCTAAATCCATAAAAGCAATAAAAACTTCCCTAACTTTATCTAAATACTGTTCACATATATGCTTCAATGTAAACACTTGATCTACACATCCCCTACCCACTCTGAAGCCTCCCTGCTCATCCGCAATCCTACATTCTGTCTTACCTCTAATTCTTTCAATTATAACCCTACCATATACTTTTCCTGGTACACTCAGTAAACTTATTCCTCTATAATTTTTACAATCTCTTTTGTCCCCTTTCTCTTTATATAAAGGGACTATACATGCTCTCTGGCAATCCCTAGGTACCTTCCCCTCTTTCATACATTTATTAAACAAAAGTACCAACCACTCCAACACTATATCCCCCCCTGCTTTTAACATTTCTGTCATGATCCCATCAGTTCCAGCTGCTTTACCCCCTTTCATTCTATGTAATGCCTCACGTACCTCCACCACACTTACATTCTGCTCTTCTTCACTCCTAAAAGATGGTATACCTCCCTGGCCAGTGCATGAAATTACCGCTTCCCTTTCTTCCTCAACATTTAAAAGTTCCTCAAAATATTCTCGCCATCTACCCAATACCTCCATCTCCCCATCTACTAACTCTCCTACTCTGTTTTTAACTGACAAATCCATACTTTCCCTAGGCTTTCTTAACTTGTTTGACTCACTCCAAAATTTTTTCTTATTTTCATTAAAATTTCTTGACAGTGCCTCTCCCACTCTTTCATCTGCTCTCCTTTTGCACTCTCTCACCACTCTCTTCACCTTTCTTTTACTCTCCATATACTCTGCTCTTCTTGTAACACTTCTGCTTTGTAAAAACCTCTCGTAAGCTACCTTTTTCTCTTTTATCACACCCTTTACTTCATCATTCCACCAATCACTCCTCTTTCCTCCTGCCCCCCACCCTCCTATAACCACAAACTTCTGCCCCACATTCTAATACTGCATTTTTAAAACTATTCCAACCCTCTTCAACCCCCCCACTACTCATCTTTGCACTAGCTCACCTTTCTGCCAATAGTCGCTTATATCTCGCCCGAACTATTATTATTATTATTATTATTATTATTATTATTATTATTATTATTATTATTATTATTATTACAATCAAAACTAAGCGCCAAACACACAAGGGTCATCAAACTCCAATAACCTGCAAGCTGCATACAATAAAAGATTGATGAACTCTATGGTACCATTTCAGTGTAGTGAGGCCTGGAGTGATGGTAGTGTTTATTTCCTATAAAATGTTCAAGATACATTTTACTGTACTTAACAGAATTTGACCCCTTAAGAAGCCAGGCTGCTACTACTAAACATCCAAAGAAAACAGCAATTAACATTAAGAAGGAAACAATTACTGCATCTGAAAATTTTCAAGATAACTTACCAACAGTGAAAAACAGTAATTCAAAACATTTCTGAAGGGATAAAACATTAGTCCAACAACAATTTCAAATTGCAGCACATCAGATAGTATAGCACAGTAATAAGAAAGTTCTGTGGCAAGCTTACTCTACTTACAATTAACAGATGCAACAGAATCATGCAGAGACAACAATCAATATACAAATGTTGGTTTAAAAAACTAGTCCCCAAGATGATACAATGCCCAATTTCATCACATATCTATGCTCTATGATGTTCCTAAATATTTGAAGATCCAAGTCAGTTGTTAAGGAAAAATTAAATAAACAGCAAAACTACAGTGAAGTGGTACCAACGCTCTTATATGGGTGTGAAGCATGGGTTGTGAATGCTGCAGTGAGGAGGAGGCTGGAGGCAGTGGAGATGTCGTGTCTGAGGGCAACGTGTGGTGTAAATATTATGCAGAAAATTTGTAGCTTGGAGATTAGGAGATGCAAAGTTACTAAAAGTATTACCCAAAAGGCTGAGGAGGGTTGTTGAGATGGTTTGGGCATTTAGTGAGGTGGAGCAAAATAGGATGATAGTGTGTATAAATCTGTGGTGGAGAAAAGGTGGGGTAGGGGTCAACTTAGGAAACATTTGGGGGGGAAGGGGGTAAAGGAAGTTTTGTATGCGAGGGGCTTGGACAGCCAGTAAGCATGTGAGCATGTGAGATAGGACTCGACAAGCTGTTGGAATGTGGGCAAAGTAACATCTTGAAGGGATTCATGGAAACTGGCAAACTGGACTTGAGTTCCAGAGGTGAGAAGTACAGTGCCTGCACTATGAGGGAGGAATGGGGGATATTTGCAGTTGGGAGGGGCATCTGAGCGGTAGTATCAGTACGCCTCTGGAAAGACAGTGATGGAGTGAATGATGGTGAAAGTGTTTCTATTTTGCTAAACCCATGTGGGTCATTCAGCACAAAATGTGATGGAGACTTGATTCTCTATCTGCTGAACATGAGACAGAAGTGCTTTCTATTTGTACTCACCCAGATGTTTCAGATATTTGAATAATCAAGTAAAAATTATTCATGTTTATTCTGTATTTAGTATTTATTCTGTATTCTGTAATTATTCTGTATTCTCTATTCTGTATTTATTCTGTATTTAGTTGTACTTACCCAGATGTTTCAGATATTTGAATAATCAAGTAAAAATTATTGATGTTTATTTTGTATTTAGTTACAATGAGGTATTTTATTAAATTTCAGTGCTCAAAATACTGCACTTGTTGTAAATAAATCTTGAACACAACAGCACAATCAAAAGGATATGGAAGTTCTGAAATGAAATTTGGGGTCCTGTTTCAATAGAAAACAGGACCTACATAAACAACCATGTACTAATTATCTATTAACTGGAATCTTTGAGCTAAGTTGTCAACTTACCTATATACATACAGTAAACCCTCAATATAACACTTAAAATTATGGGCCAAATCCACTGCTTAACCCTTTCAGGGTCCAGACCCCAGATCTAAAAACTGTCCACAGGGTCCAAAAATTCTCAAAAAAAAAAAAAAAAAAAAAATTATTTTTTTATGAAATGGTAGAGAATCTTTTTCTGAAGGTAATAAAACAAAAAGAATGTAATTGATGGAAAATTGATGAAATTATGCTATCACGAATTTAGCTGCATCGGCGATATTTACACATCAGCGATTTTGCCCACTTTGCCTCCCATTGTAGGCCAATTACACTATTCCAGTCAACCAAATTCTTAGCTATTTCGCTAGTATTACTTCCATTTTATCGACTGAGCACAAGAAACTGCCCAATTAACTATTTCAACTACCCAATAAAATTATCAGAAATTGGTAATTTGACTAATTTCACACAAAGTTCAAAAATATTCCAATTTCAAAATAGGGTCCAGAATAAATAATGCAGGAATTCCTGGCACTAAAATAACATTTTTTCTTTTTATTAGTTGCATTTTCAGGCTTTACAGATGAATTCCATTTTTTATTTTTTATTCACTAAGAATTTTTATTCACACAAAAAAAAAAAGATTTACTGCTATGCAATATTGTAATAATTGTATAAATAATATCAGTGCATTTGTGAACATAGACCCACCAGTTGACGTGTACTGGAAACATGACGTCATTTGTTTGCTCCTGAGCATTGTCAAAAATTTAACATTTTCACTACTTTGAGCTCAGTTTCAACCTATTTTCAGTTCTAAAACCAATTAAAATCATCTCTATTTCTGTAATATATCTTCCATTTCATCAAATGATACCAAGAAACCACGTGAATATGACTAAAAACCACACGAAAATACACTGCAAAGTTGCTGTTTTAACCCAAAAACAAAGTCGCAGTTTTTTTCCTCATCATGCACTGCGTGCTGCAGGGTTTGTTTTATATGGTGCATACTTACCACATAGATGCTTTCTCTCATATCTAGACCCACATTTACCACTCACAGCTTATATAAGTGAGCTGAGCTCATGACATAGTACTATGGCTTGGATCCTGGCTTCAAAGCCGTAGAACTACGGGACGAACACTCAAGAGGTTAAATTACACTTTTAACTCCTTTACTTTTAGTGTTTTTTTATTATGTTTATAAACTGAGTGCACAATGCTATATTAAGTGCATAGTATTTAGTGCATTTATTTTTTTTTTATTCTGATTTAACCCTTAAAGGGTTGGTGCCATACTAGTACGGCTTGCACACCAGGGTTGGTGCCATACTAGTACACCTAAATTCTAGCATCTTGAAATCTAGAGAGAGAAAGCTGGTAGGCCTACATATGAAAGAATGGGTCTATGTGGTCACTGTGCACAGTATAAAAAAAATTCTGCAGCACAGTGCATAATGAGAAAAAAAAAAACTCTGACCGTGTTTTTGGTTTAAAACAGCGACTTTGCAGTGCATTTTCGTATGCTATTTATATGTATTCCAGTTTTCCTGGTCTCATTTTATAGAATGGAAGATATATTACAGAAATTGAGATGATTTTTATTGGATTCACCATGAAAAGTATCTTGAAATTAAGCTCAAAGTAGCAGAAATGTTCGATTTTTGCGAAAGTTCAAAAGTAAATAAATCAAGCCATGTGTCCAATATACATCAACTGGTGAGTCTAATATTCTTTCACAAGTGCGCTGATATTATTTATACCATTTCTACACCATTTGTATACTAATGCAGTAGTCTGCATAACAGTAAATTTTCTATTTTTTGTGGGAATAAAAATTCAAAGTGGAAAGCAAAAGAAATATAACAGAGGCCTGGAGATGTGACTAATGAACAGAGGAAATGTTATTTTAGTGCCAAGAATGTGTCTTGTTTATTCTGGACCCTATTTGGAAATTGGCATCTTTTGAAATGTGTGTGAAATTGGCAGAATTGCCAATTTCGGACCACTTTATTGGATAGTTGAAATTGATAAATGGGTGGTTTCTTCTACTCATTTGATAGAAAAAATGGAGCTCTAGCGAAATAGTTATGATTTTTGCAGACTGGTACATTGGAATTGGCCAAAAATAGGGCTCAAAGTGGGCGAAATCGCCAATGCGTAAACATTGTCGAGACCGCTAACTTCACAAGAGTATAATTCCGTAAGTTTTCCATCAAATTCATACTTTTGGTGTCATTATGATCGGGAAAAGATTCTCTATCATTTCATAAGAAAAAATAATTTTTTTTTTTCCAAAAAATTTCCGACCCTGAGAACAAGTTTTGGAGAGGGCCTTGCCGACCCTGAAAGGGTTAAACGGATACTCAGACAATCCCCCTATTAGTTTATTATACTGAGGGCTTACTGTATATAAAATAATTTTGTTTTAAACCTCAAAAACCATCTCCCAAAGAGCACATATTTATCACCATTCATTTAAACACTGTCTTGCCAGATGTGTGCTGACATCACAATTCAGATTACCATCCAACTGCAACATCACCACCATTCCTGCAGAGTTCAGGTACAACATTTTCCACATCCAGCACTCTTAAGTCTGGCTAACCAGTTTTTCTGAATCCCTTTATAAATGTTACCTTGTTCACATTCCAACAGTGCATCAACTAAAAAATACACGTCTCCACTCACTCCTATTTAACGTGCTCACACAAGCCTGCTAGATGCTCAATCATCTAAAACTCAGTCTCCTCTGCCCCCTCCTTTTAACCATTCCTGGGACGACTTCTACCCCTCCTACCTTCCACCCCACATTTACATGCCTTCCTATCCCTCCCCAGCCTCTCAACATGCCCAAACCACCTCAACAATCCCTCTTCAACCCTCTGATTTATACACTTGGTGACCCCACATTACTTTTTTAATTTCTAAGCTCCAAATTCTCTGCGTGATATTCACACCACACACTGTTCTCTAATATGATATCTCCACTACCTTTAGCCTCCTTGTTGCAGCATTCAAAACCCATACCTCACACCCATATAAGTGTTGGTACTATTAGTACATTCCCTTTTTAGCCTCCGGACACAAACCTCTTCCTTTTCACAGATGGATCAACACATCACCCACCATTTTTCTCCAATTTTATTCTATGATTTGCCTTTCATATGCTCATCTGCTGTAGACATGCTTGCTTCCAAATACAGTGGACCCCCGGTTATCGTAATTAATCAGTTCCTGAGAGAGTGACTAAACCCGAATCGGACTATTTCTGAATTCATTTTCCCCATGAGAAATAATGTAAATTCAATTAATCTGTTCCAGGCACCCAAAAGTATTAAAAAAAATCATTTTTTAACATGAAATATACATTTACCTACACAGAAAACAATGAGACATGCAGAATAAAACAATAGTAAAATGACACTTATCTTTATTGAAGACTTGTTGATGTATCGAAGACAGGAGAAGGGGAGAGGATGGAGGAGTTACTATTGTTTGGAAGGGGAATCCCCTTCCATAAAGACTTCAGGTACAAAGTCCTTTTACGGGGTTACTTCCCTTCATTGTTATTTAACTCCATCAGGACCAGCTTGAGAGCCACTGGACCTGTCGCTCAAAAAAGTGTTCCAGAGAGGTCTGTTTCTGGCATATGTTAGGAATTGTGGCAGCGGCAGGGGTGTGTTGGGAGACAGGACAAAATAGTCCTTCAATATGAGACTATCAACTATATGGCTTATTTATATAGCACAATTCATCTAATATGGCATAATAAACAATATTAATCCCTTGACTGTCGCAACCCCCCAATCCTGAGGTGTCTCCTGGTGTCGCAAAATTTAAAAACAAAAAAAAAAAAAATTTTTCTTATGAAATGATAAGAGAATCTTTTCCTGATACTAATGACACCAAAAAAATGATAGAAAACTGACAGAATTACGCTCTCGCGAAGTTAGCGACCTCAGAGATATTTACAAATCGGCGATTTCGCCCGATTTGAGCCCTATTTTCGGCTAAT